GTTAGTTATCTATTTTTTTAATTAAAAAGAATCCCAGTACAACACTTGGTATGCCTATCCAAAATAACACATGGTGATAATTATGTCACAAAATTGGATAGTAAACTGAATTTTCCTCTATTTTTCCCAAATTTTTCAATCAAACATTTAACAGCTAGTTACATTGATTGAACTGGTAAAATAAAACCCAATAATTATATATTTTATCATATGTCAAGTACATCTTTTTTAATATAGAAATATCTAAGCAAGTACTTCAGATTTTCAAGATTTTTAATTTAAAATTGGTTCGCTGTAGAAAAATTCATGAGTATTCATTGTCGAAGTTGCAAAATCATATTCTATGTTCTTTTGTCTTCCTGATTGACCTTATTTCGCTTAAAATCAATTTATCTAATTTGAGAATAGTCTTACAGTATGCTACTTATTTATCATGTATGTCATAGACTTTATTAAATAACCTAATGCTTTATCCCCTCGAACAGTAAGCTGTGGTTTTAGGTTTATAAGGAAATTAAATATTCTTTTTGTATTCATGTTTCTTAGAATTTGATTACTTCATTTTATAAACACTATTAATGTAACATACTACATTTATGGTTTATCAACATATAGCTCAATCCTTTGTATTGGATTTTTTTCCTCAACTGCGTTTTGTAGGAGTTTTGGGGATTTCTATGGTACTTCACGTTTGTTATGATTATGGATATGTATTCCTCATGTCTAGCCATAACCTATTTTTAACATTAAAAATAGATGATACTTAGTATTTAAGCTTAACATTAAATGAAACTCGAACTGCTACTAAAATATGTAGCCTATCGTGAACAGAATAAATAAAATATTTTTCGCCGCCTACAACTTGTAATGTTGTGTACATGTAAATAGTTTATATAGAATCAAAACGAAAACAGAATGGCTTAATTCATAGTGAAGCATGCAACTATTTCTAACCTTTATAAACTTTGTTCATTTAATTAATAGATCTAAAAGCATATATAACGCCCCTCACTAGAAATTATTTGACACTTTTGCTTCATTTTTGTGACCCACAAACAAAAAACTAAATGGCTGTACAACTTGATTCTCAGTGCTCAAGAAAAACAGCAAAATCTTCAACTATATCAAATAATGATGAGCACAAATAAAGCGACTGCATCTTGGATTTCGTTAAAAATATAGACAGACCCCGGCCAAAAGTCAGAATTTATGTAAGTTGCATGATCCATCATAACTTTCTAAACAGTCAGTAAAATTTGTTGGGAATACTTGAAGATACGATACTGAATCTAATGTGACTGAATAGGTGGATATTTAATGGGAAATGACACTTAAAGTATAGTGAGAAGATAGGACTGAGCAATAAGTGCGGTCTTTACTTATATACGTATATATAGCACTTAACAAAATAAACTTACAGGAATAGAATTCGACTACCCAGATTGCTGACATTGCGTAAGTTACCGTGATCTTGATGTTCGAAAGGTAACCATAATGGTACTCTTATTACTAATCAAACTCATAATATTATTGATTTACGTCAACCTCCACAAAATGAAAATGACATACTTTAAACAAATGTCACGTTTCTTGTAAAAGTACTTGACAACATTTCTTCCCATGAGTACTGGTTATTTATGACCACTATTCATTTCTGAATAATGCTTCACATTTAAGTTATCCTATCATTCAGACTAGCCGAAATGATAATCAGAGAGCAAGTCACACAAAACATATCGGGAAATAAAGGGTTTTTAAGAAATTATGTTAGCGTTAGAAAGCTAATTCCTACAAAAATTTGGACAGTAAAATATTGCAACGAACACTTTAGTACAGAAATGAAAATATTATTTGCATTTTACTTCTCAATTTAGAATGAAACAAGTGTGAATGAAATACAAGAAGTACAGGTATTCTTCCTCTATTAATCAGGGAACAGATTTCAGATATGTTTATATTACTTTAGTCGTAAATCCTGTAATAGATTTAATTTCTTTTCAACCTTAAAAACTGGTTTTGATCTAGAAAAAAGGCTTAATGTCACCGAAATTTGATCATTAGTTAATCCTTAAATGTTGTAATCTTAAAGCATCTCGACTTTGTAATACATCAGAAATCCACATGGTTCAATACCATTAGTTAAATTCAATGTGCAGTTTAAGAAAGATCAAGTTCACTCGCGTATTTGCGTCTGTTTTCCTAAATTCATCATAGACTCAAAATAAACTTGAATCACCGTCTGTGGAAAATTAGATGATTTATCGAACAGTCTAACATAATGTCCTTTAGGGAAATAGAAATGCACTAGGATGGTATTAGTCTCAGTTTCTTCATTAATATAAACCCCTAAGGGAAAGATTGCACTGAAAATATTACCATTAAAAATACATTTAAGTTTATAAAAATTGACTAATGGTTTCTAACTAATTTAATAAGTGAAACAAATGAATAAAAATAGTTAGATGTGATTTAAAGACGACAATTTCATTTCATTTCATGAATATCTGAAGAAAATATAAATAATCTCCCCCCCCCCACTGGGGTAATAACTAATACATTTATCAAATCAGACTAAAATTATTTGAATGCAATTTTAATTTTTCAGACACTATTTTGAATTATTACCTAATCTATTTATTGTATTTAAAAAATTTTTGGATCTAAAAACATACATGTATGAAAATGGTAAAAACATTGTCTAATAATAATTATCCGAAAGGTTTTTGTGGATATTATAGTACTTTCAGTAGTTGAGATCATGAGTCAATTGAAGCTAGACCACCATGGGAAACCTGGAAGCATCGAACGGTCGTTTCGTCCTAGTATGGGACTCCTCAGCAACACGACTGGCTTTCATGGGTATATCCTGGAGTTCTAGTGAGCAGCAGTGACCAGTGGAGTTCAAATGGGTCTGTTGTGAGATAGTAACTCACTGATGATAATGATGGATGTGTCGCTCAATCTCGTGGGTTAGTTGAAGTTAGACATTAACACCGTTGGATGCCGGCCAGCTCAGTGGTCTACAGGTTAAGTGCTCGCTCGCAAGACTGATAGATCCTGGGTCTGAATCTCACGAGGATGCGCGCTGCTGAGGAGTCACACAATAAGACAAAACGGTCGTGCAGTGCTTCCAGGTTTCCTATGGTGGTCTAACTTCAATTGGCTCATGATCTGAGCTATTGAAATTAATAATAATTAACTCAAAAGTGTGAATTCTTTATAATGTGTACTAAGAACTAATTAAATTCAGTCTATTCTTCATTTAATTAGCAATTTTTTTCAAAAGTTATGAAACTCTTTAAACAATAATTAAGTTTGAAATTAGTTCACCATTATATTTGTTGTCTATTCAAAAACATGTCTTCAACTATATCAGTATGAACTTCATAGGCAGAATAATAATGATTACATAGAAACACGAAGTTAGAACAATTTCTTTACTTTCCTTAATTCTCATTTGCATATATTTTATTTCTACCTCATAACTTCAACTTGATTACTGTCAATTATTTTTGTTCATTACACCTATCAATCAAATGTTCTGAAAAAAACATCGGATTATTTTATCGTTGCATTGGGATTACTACTTCTGTAGTGAACGAGAAAACAAGTGGGGACAATCGAATGTAATTGAATACAAAATTACAGAATCTCTTAGTGAAATCTGAGAGCTATACGGTAAATTCTTTATTTGCAAAATGTCAATCAATTGTTTCTTACTTGACTATTCCTTCTGCAAAATGTCAATCAATCGTCTCAGACGTCACTGTCCTTTCATTTCCACACCAATCATTCTCTGCTCTCGTTCGCTTTTCTTTGATCTTCTTAATCTTCTTCCACAAGGCATTTCACTTTCGACTGATGATACATACTATTTATATCTATCGACATCAGTAGCACAGAACACATATATGCTAAGTAGTTTAATTCCATATCTATCTATTCAGGAACATTTGTATTCTAGTTCTTATTTGATTCATTTGTTCTCGGTCGTTATGTATACAGATAATAAATATGTAAACCCTACAATAAAGTGTTTTGTTAGCCGTCCAATCTTCCACGTCAGTAATTCTGTCCATTTTCACATACTCATGGTGATTGTCAATCTACAATTAAAAACTCAATAACCTAGGTCCTGTCAGAGGTATGAAGTGGAAAGTTTCCAAAATAGTTAATCTTAACATTCTCAGTATCCGATATGAAGATTCCATCTGCACACTAATACATAAAAGAAAACCACAATTTTTGACACATTGGTAGTATTCATGCGGCCTAGATCAGACAATGAAAAAGAACCGAAATATTTTGATGTAAAGTGTTTAGATGTTTCCGCTTCAGTCATTTCAAATCTCATACCATCAAAATCTCATCACAAACTAGAATTTGTCACGTTTCTTGCCTACCAAGTTTTAAAGTTACACAGTTGCACTCACAAAAAACCTATGTAAATGTACGGCTAAACTGAGTGACATTTCTTGCATAATCAGATGTGACTGGCAATCCGTCGGCTCATCCATCTGATGCTTAAAAGAAATCTGCTTCGCACACTAAACTCCTTCTAGTGAGTAGTGATATTGGGTCAATATACTCAAATCTCTCTCGGTTTGATAATTAATCCTCAAACCATTAATCAGCAAAGTGGTTTTGCTCATATCTGGGTTTCTTTCGCCTGAATTTCACCATTAGAATTGCTTTAGCTGAAGTCAATGTAAATTCATATGTACACAGAAACTTACTTTTTTTAAAACAAGCTCTGCACACATTTGTCTTCTAATTCGAAAAAGGTCAGGATGAATCATAACAAATTGGAATTAAATAGTAAGACAGGAGTTACATGATCTTTTCTAAGGGGCTGTTATTGGGTACCTTGTTCTAATGAATTCCGAAAAATTAAAGGACTGATAGAATGTTGAACATTGTTCTAATTGCCAAAACAGACATAAACAGTAGTCTTTGTCAGATTTCACCACCTCATTATTTCTTAATTATATTTCATTTTTGTATGTGTCTGAAAAGAATCCAGTTTATCGAGCCTAGTACAAACAAATGTCATACTATTCAACATATAGAGAAAAATTGTAATTAACTAGTAAAAAGGTCATTTAATAAAGATGGTTCAATTAAAATTCGTCTGATTGGAGTGACTAAATTCTTTATTCTGCACACGTACTTTTACTGTCATTCACTCTGTTTTATTTGTTTTCTGACTCTCTTTCCTTTCATTCTTATCTTTACGTTTCGTAGATTCTTGTGTTCCCGTAGACGAATATATTGTAGCATTCAAATAAAAATTAATTTTGTGAAGATAATCACAACAAACTTATTTTGCAATTGTTTTTTGATACTATTTGCATTTCTTTTGTTAATTCTCATAATTTGCACATTTACTACAAATGATTGTAAAAGTTGTTTAAAATTGCATGACCCTGAATACTTCCTCTTCCGTTTTGAATACCTCATAGCACGACACACTGATAGCCGCGCTCAAATATACTGCTACAAACACACTTCTCCTGTTCTCAATTGCCTGATGTTACGATAAGTGAACTTTAGTATATTTATTATCTGCACTCATAGACCACAGCCATATTTCCATTAAATATCTATAGTATTCTAATTATCGTATGAATTAGGAATTCCAGGATTAACGCAATTGAATTAAGAAGACACAGGCACAAACGAATGTATTGTATTTAGAATTCGAAATCGAGCATTCAACAAGTACAAAGGTATCATTGGTTCATTCAAACACCACATCCGCCACAGCTTAAATTGGAGTCTAGGTGTTTGTAATCAATCGTGCGTCTTCTTCTCAAATTCATCCTGAGTCTGTCTGACATTGTATTGGATAAGGATTCTGTATTATCTAGAATATGCTCATTAGCATTAGAATTAACAATTGAAATTGGAACTGACTCACCTGGTTCCTGAAATTGTATTTGATCTACATGTCGACTGTGTGTACTTAAGTCATCGATGTCTAGAATTCGCACCATCGATTTTCCGACATTCTTCAGAACAATACCCGTAGATGGTCGAAGATCATTTCCTCGATAGTATGTAACCTCTGCAGACTCCAGACATCTCATATTCGACCGAAGAATTCTTCCTTTCAATAGCTTCGCTGGAGTCTCCTTCGTCACCGAATGTTTGGCATTTCTATATTGCAATAGAAAGGTATCTACTCCCCTCTCCAGCTCATTAAATGTTGAGGGGGCTATAGAATCAATAGCAGTCTTTAATGTCCTAACAAAATTCTCTGCCTGACCATTAGAACACGGATGTCTGGGAGCAGTAAATAGATGTTTGCACCCTATACCGTTCAACCAGGTAGTGACTGCATCTGCAGAAAAATGTGAGCCATTATCAGTCACCAACACCAAGGGAACACCTTCTCGACTAAACACCTTTCTTAATGCTTGTATTGTGAAATCAGAATTTGGTGAAGTTGTGAAAAAAACTTCAGGCCACTTTGAAAAAGAATCAATGACTACTAGTGCGTAGTATTTACCAAGAAATGGTCCACAATAGTCAGCATGAATCCTCTGCCAGGCCTCAGACGATACTGGCCATGGCACCCACTTCGAAGGATGATTTTTCAACTGATGACATTTCTCACAATTGTTTGCCGTACGACATATATCTGCATTTATCTCTGGCCACCAGCATGTGAGCCTTGCCAAGGACTTCATTTTCTCAACACCTAAATGACCACTATGAAGATCTTCAAGAACAGATTTACGCAATGAAGGAGGAATGACAACACGATCGTTTAAACACAGAATACCATCAGGAGTAGTAGATAACTCATCCCGCTTTGAAAAATAGATAGGAAATCTCCGTTTCAAATTAGCATTCCAACCTTTCCTTATAGCACTGAGTATACATCCAAAATATCTACGAGTTTCTCTAATGAGATCTGGACGTCTCACTGGTAAAGGTTGCACTAACAAACAATCCGAAGTATTATTAGGTTTATCTTGTAATGACTGTCGAGAAATGTAATCAACATGTTGAATCTGTTTGGCACTTCTGTGCTGAACCGTATAGTCATATGCACTCAAAGCAATACTCCATCGCTGAACCATAGCTGCTGAGGAACGTGCTAAGGATTTTTCGGGATGATAAATAAACTTTAAAGCTTCATGATCAGTAACAATAGTGAATTTCTTTCCGAACAAATATTTATGAAGTCTTTTAACAGCCCAAAACACAGCTAATGCTTCTCGCTGAGTCTGTGAATAACCTTGTTCAGTAACAGTAAGTTTGCGTGAAACACAAATAACTGGTCTACCTTCCTGTTCCAAAACTGCACCAATTCCCACAGGTGATGCATCAGTAATAAGCACAGAATGTACATTAGGGGAGTACGTTCGAAGAACAGCATCACTTTGAAGAAACTTCAGCAGACTTCGTAAGCATGACTCTTGTTCCTCACTCCATTTGAATGAATTTGATGTTAAAATATTAAATAAACAATTTGCACGACAAGAAAAATTAGGAATAAAACGGGAATAGTATTGAAGAGCACCCACTAGTGAACGTAATTCTGTAAGATTTTTCGGAGACGGTGCATTAGTCAATGGAGCTAGTCGTTTCATATCTGGTCTAAAACCATTACCATCAACTAGGTATCCAAGGCATTCAAAACTAGATACACAAAATGAACACTTATTTGGATTCACTGTTATATTCTTCTCAATTAAACGTCGCAATAAAGCAATAAGTCTCTGGTCATGAACCACCTTATTAGAGCCATGAACAATGAGATCATCTTGATAAACTTCAACACCTTCAAGATCACTAACTACTTTATTCATAACTTCCTGAAATATGGCTGGAGAACAACTTAGACCAAATGGAAGGAAATTGTATTTGAACAGACCAAAAGGAGTGTTAATTGTCGTCAAAATAGATGAAGATTCATCTAAAGGAATTTGAAGATAAGCATCTTTTAGGTCAACTTTCGAGAACACTTTAGAACCATGAAGTCGATTTAGAATATCTTCAGCTTCTACCGTCGTGCACGTTTGCTTCAACAAACGGGAGTTCAGAGTTAATCTATAGTCACCGCAAATTCTAGGGGTCTTGCCGTCCGACTTCAGTGGCGTAACGATAGGAGTACCCCATGCTGAAGACTGGATTGGTTCAATTATGCCTTTCACACACAAATCGTTTAATGTCTTATGTACTGCTTCTCGAAGACCATAAGGAATTATTCGTCTTTTAAGAAAGACGGGATCACCCTGTACTTGAAGTTTTATAGGCTTAATTTTCATACCTCCACTGCATTTAGCACACATAGCTATCAAATCTTTAAGTAAAGTATCAGAATTTTCTTTAGAAACTAAGAAGGACAACTCCACCTTAAGCCTTTTCAAATTCTTTAAACCCAATATTGACAGTCCTGTTTCGCTAACTAAAAATTCACAAGGTATGTATGAAGAATTATCATGTCTGATTAGCAATTCACAACATCCTCGTATGGGCAGTCTGTGTCCAGTAATCCCCAGTATTGATACTTCAGTGGGTCGTACAACAACGTTAGGATCTAAAGCTTTCAGGTTCTTGAATGAAATAATGGACTCTATACTGCCTGTGTCCAGAATAAAGTCATGAAATGAACCAAGCGATGTATATAATCGCTTCTGAATATGAGCATTACCTTTTGAAATAGTGGACAAAGACAAATGATCACTAGAAACATCCGAATTATTGAAATTTAAATTACAAGATTTAGTACAGCTCGAAGCAAAATGGACAATAGCTTTGCATACTGACTGAATGTGTCCTACCTTACCACATTTAAAACATTTAGCATTACGAAATACACATGAATTGCGAGCATGAAACTTTCCACATGATAAACATTTACCAAACTTCATCTCACCTTTGTGATTTGCTTTGTAATTCCTCGTTGAAACACCTTTCATATTTACACGAGAATAGGAATCACTGTTAAATGAACGCAAGTTTGATTGACCCTGAGATTGTAGTTCATCACGACGACTAAGCAAAGTATTAGAAATGTTCATCGACTGGATATCAAGTTCATTGACTGCTTCGTAGTTAATACATGCAGTTCTAGCATCTTGAAAGGAACAGTTTGGCATTCTTAACAGCTCTCTTTCCAAACTCGGTATGTTAATCCCTGCAATTAATCGATCTCTCAATTGCACATGAAGTTGATCACCGAAATTACACTTGGCAGCTTGTTTCTGTAATTCAAGGATGAATTCCCGAACCTTTTGGTCATTTTGACGAACCATCTTATGAAACTTCGCCCTTTCACGGCATTCAAAACTGGTGCATTTTACATGACTTAACAATAGCTCTTTAAGAGTTGCATAAGGCAGTGAGATAGGTTTTTCTGGATATGCCAAAGTTTTTAATAAGCTGTACGCTTCTCTCCCAATGAATGTCAGAAAATGTGCCACAATTTTCTCACCTTTAACATCTTTCTTGGTCATGCTCCAAATTTCGAACCTTTCCAAATAATCCTCAATAGCTTCAGGAGTTGAATGAATATCCAACTTTTCCATTGCAGGTTCCATCACGACGCCAATATAGTATTCTAATTATCGTATGAATTAGGAATTCCAGGATTAACGCAATTGAATTAAGAAGAATTCGAAATCGAGCATTCAACAAGTACAAAGGTATCATTGGTTCATTCAAACACCACAATATCTCATCTGGACATACAGCCGGATTATAACAACCTTCATTGGAATTATTCGTCACCTATTATCATAGATTATTATACCAAATGCTCGAACACTCCAATGCCTACCAATTTAAGTAACACTCCATAACTTTTCCCTGTGTTTATAAAATATATTTAATATATTAATACATTCATTTTTGGACGTGATAACTTTATTATCATTTTTGGCTTAATATAATTTTCGGTCCACCATTAGTTATTGTCCTCATTGCTTTCGATTAAGCTCATCGATCAAAACTAATGTGTCAGCTCGTTTAAAACAAATTATAAGTTAAAGCTGGTCTTGACACACTATGCTGATGTTCAATGTCCTTTCGTTCACAGGTTGCTCAATATAACTATGGTATTAATACGATCTAATGATTCATTTGTACTTGATTGTCTGCTAATTACGAATTTCAAATACAGTGCGTTCGTTTGTGCCTATCTAGTTCTGTCAGGCTTAAACTGAACTGTTCCGGTAATTCCTAGTTAGTACAATCATTCGAATAGTTTTAACTATCATATTGGCGTCGTTATAGGACCTGAGTTTGAACAGTTGGATATACATTCAAATTCTGAACTTTTCAAAGATTATATGGAAAGGTTTGAAGTCTGGAGTATAACCAGTAAAGATGTTAGGGATGATAAAATTATGGCTCATTTCCTTACATTGATCTGAAAGGATGACTACAAATTACTAAAAACTTTGGTATTCCCAGATGGGCATGATTCACTACTGTAGCGGTAAATAAATCCCTAAAATAAATAGCTCTGTAAGTTTTCGACATTGGATGCTGACCATATGTTTTAGTGGACTCATCTAGCTGAAGGCGCTCGGTCAGGCATCCGCACCAGATCACGTGTGGTAACGCCGTGCTCAACATCAACCGCAATCGCTAGCCAGATTAGATCAGAGAATTCCGATATATTGGTCATCGCCAAATATACTCTTCCGATCTCCTCGACTCTGTCTTTTGATTTCTCTGGGTGGGAACGAAATATATTAGAAAGTGTTACTGGTAGAAGCGTTGTCAAACACTGAATACCTGTGACATCATCATTGGTGAAACCAATGTGATCTGGTACACCTTATTGCAACTGTGAGTCTGTTCCTTTTTGGGATTTTTATATATCATTGCCTTATTTTTTATTTTTTTTAAACATTGTGATTTTTTTTCGTGCTTTTTCTTGGATATATATATTTTCCCCTCGTTCATTATCATACTTAATGTTTCATCATGACTGAACAGACACCTAAAGTACTCAAGCTTAAGACTTTGTCCCCACCTTCGTTTCAACTGATGCCTTTCTGGCCCGACAACATCGAAGCCTGGTTTTGCTACGCAGAAGCCGTCTTCTCCGAGCACAGCGTGATCGACACACGTGCACAATTCCTCGCAGTAGTCAAGGCACTACCGCGCGAATTCAACAGGTACGTGACACCTAGTATGTTTACTAGTGATGTTTCCGACCCTTACGAAATCTTAAAACGCTCGATTCTTAAACGAGGAGATCTAACCGATCGACAAAGTTTAGATCAACTCTTCAATAACATCGACCTGAAACACGGTTCTGCGACAGACATGTTGCAACGGATGAGAGAGGTTATAGGCCTAAGAACTTTCGACGAAAGTCTATTCAAACAACTCTTCTTGTCAAAACTTCCCCAACAGGTGCAAGCAGTTCTGGTCTCGTTCCAGAACAACGGCTTAGACGAGCTAGCTGCATCTGCCGACCGCATTCTAGAAATTACGAAATCTACTGCCGAGGTATTTTCAGTCAAAGAAAAGCCTCACACGACTCAGAACGATATAACCGACTTATGTCACACACTCACGCGTTATCTTCGTCTTCGTACCGACCGTAAGAGATCGCGCACACCACGTAGAAGCATTTCTCGTAAGCGATCTGTCTCTAGACCACGAGAGACGGATAACCCCGACTGGTTCTGGTATCATAACCAGTATGGAAAGTTTTCCAGAAATTGCAGAAAACCCTGCAATTTTCCCAACACGAAACCGACTGATTCGAAAAACAATTCGGGGAACTTCCAAGCCGGCACGCGTTAACGGCAACCGTAGCCGGCGAACATAGCCGTCTGTTATACGTCACAGATGTGACAACGAGAGTTCGCTACCTCGTCGATACTGGCGCAGAAGTTAGCGTTCTCCCAGCGAATCCCAACGATCGGCTTCAAGAATCCGCTCTAAACTTACAGGCGGCAAACGGAAAACCGATCGCTACGTATAGCAAAAGGTACGTTTACCTTAACGTGGGTTTACGCAAACCCATCCACTGGATTTTCGTTGTTGCAGATGTTTCTATACCAATCATTGGTATGGACCTTCTACAACACCACAATCTGATCATCGACACTCGCAAACGGAGGCTAATAGACGGAAACACTAATTTGTCCGTTTGCGTAACTTCTTTTACTGGTTGCAGAGTATCCCCAGTCACAGTTAAGCATATGATAGACCCACTCTATCAACCACTACTAGATAAGTACCCTGGAATACAACAAACTCAACCGAAACTACCGTGTGTAACCAGCAACGTTACACATCACATCACGACTACAGGACCACCTGTATTCCCTAAAGCACGACGACTAGCTTCTGAAAAGCTAAGGTTAGCGAAAAACGAATTCGATCACATGATGGATTTAGGAATCATACGACCGTCAAGTAGCCCATATGCATCTCCGTTGCACATGGTCCCTAAAAAGGACAGCAACGATTGGCGTCCAACTGGTGACTATCGGCGATTGAACGCGAAAACCATTCCCGATCGTTGCCCGTTGCCTCACATTCACGATTTGACAGCTACCTTGAAAGGTACAACTGTCTTTTCGAAAATCGACTTGGTTAAAGCATATAACCAAATCCCTATGGCTACTGACGATATACCAAAAACAGCTATCATAACTCCCTTCGGACTCTATGAATTTTTGCGAATGCCTTTCGGTCTAAGGAACGCTGCTCAAACATTCCAAAGATTCATAGACGACGTCTTTCGAGGTCTCAACTTCGTACATGCGTATGTTGACGACTGTCTAATCGCAAGTCCGGACAGAGAAACACATCTCAAGCATCTGGATCTTGTTTTCGAACGACTACAAAAACATGGCATTACTGTAAACGTTCAGAAATGCCAATTCGGAACCGACTCGTTAGATTTCCTAGGACACACTATCGATGCTCAAGGTATCCGACCCCTTAGAACCAAAGTGGCGGCCATTCTGGATTACCCAGAACCGACCACCGTCAAGCAATTGCGCACGTTCAACGGCCTGGTAAGTTTCTATAGACGTTTCATACCGAAATGCGCATTACTTATGAAACCTCTGACCGACCAACTTCGTGGAAATGCGAAATCCATTAATTTGGACGACACCGCACGAAAAGCATTCTCCACAGTTAAGGAACTGATTGCTAAAGCAACAATGCTCGCACATCAGGACACCCGAGCACCCATTAGCATCGCAGTAGACGCATCCGACTCGGCAATCGGAGGAGTCTTACAACAATGGGTTAACAACTCCTGGCAACCCTTGGCATTTTTCTCTAGACGGTTGCTAGACACCGAATCGAGGTACAGCACATTCGGTAGGGAACTCCTAGCTATGTATTGTGCTGTACGGCATTTCCAACACTACATCGAAGGTCGTGAATTCACTCTTTTCACTGACCATAAACCACTCACTTTCTCGTTAAGCTCTCCTTCTGACAAGTACTCCCCCCGTGAGTCTCGACAACTGGACTACATTTCACAGTTTACTTCAGATATTCAACATATTTCTGGAGCAAACAATGTAGTTGCAGACGCTTTATCTCGTATAACTTCCTTGAACAGTTTCCAAGGAATCGACCTTCTTAAACTCGCCGAGCTTCAAAAAGAAGACAGTGATCTTCAGCACGAGTTATCGTCCACAACACTTAAACTACGCATCAAACAGATGGGAACAGGTAAGGAAACCTTACTTTGTGACACATCTACAGGTAGGGATCGCCCAATCGTGCTGAAACATTATCGACGCAATGTCTTCAACACATTGCACAAACTTTCTCATCCAGGTGTTCGTGCAACCATCAAGCTTATAGCAGAAAGGTTTTGCTGGCCTGGAATGAATAAAGACGTGAGGGAGTGGGCACGCTCCTGTGTAAGCTGCCAAAAATCTAAGGTCATCAGACACAATAAATGTCCCTTAGGCTCGTTTAAAACTCCCGATGCTCGTTTCGACCATGTTCATCTGGATTTGGTAGGACCTTTACCAGATTCAAATGGATACTCTTATCTCTTAACCTGCGTAGACCGTTTCACTCGATGGCCAGAAGCAGCACCGATCAAGGACATCACTGCTGAAACAGTGGCTCACACCTTCGTCGAACGATGGGTAGCAAACTTTGGCTGCCCTTCAACCATCACTACAGACCGCGGACGTCAGTTTGAATCCGATCTTTTCCGTCGTCTGACCACACTTTTAGGAATCACTCGCTTCCGAACGACCGCCTACCATCCACAAGCAAACGGGTTGGTAGAACGTTTTCACCGACAACTGAAAGCTTCGCTATCAGCTGCAAACGTTTCACAGTGGACCGACGCTCTTCCACTCGTCTTACTAGGTATCCGCAATGCAGTGAAAGCTGACATTGGATACACTGCGTCTCAACTCGTTTATGGAACGACACTTCGATTTCCAGGAGAATTCGTGGATCCTTCATCCTCTTCAATGAACATGGATCTAACCTCCTACACGAACAGGCTTACAAACGCAATGCGTTCAGTTAAACCTGCTTCCACTCGACCTCAATCAACTGATGTTTTCGTTCAACCTGACTTACGATATAGTACACACGTTTTCATTCGTCGAGACTCGCATCGACGACCATTCGAATCAGCATACGAAGGACCCTTCAAAGTTCTTCA